ACTAGGGAGCTCCTGCCTAGCATGTTCAAATCTTAAGAGTGACCTCTCTATATTTTCTTATCTTTCACGAGATGAACATTCCCTCTTTCTACATGCAAACTTGCATCCCTGATGCTCTTCTCACCTTGTACCACAAAAAGATTTCTCTTAAAAAAAAAAACAAAAAAAAAAAACCCAAACCCCCTTGTAACATCTGTACTGTCGCACTGATTTCCTGGGCAATGATCTGATTCTTGTGGCTGAGTTAAAACACTTGGCATTCAACCTTTTTCTTCCTCCCTCTCAGGAACTAGGTTATGATTGCCTCATAAAGCAGTGCCTGGGTGGTATTACTAGCTAATTAATGTCTATTTAGTGTAAGGGGCTGCAGCCATCTTCCAGCCCCTACAGGCATTTTTTCTTCTTCTCCCTGACAGGACCAGATGGCATTCTGGCCAACCTTCACCCACCCTTCAGGAGCCATACACTCGATTCAGACAATGCATCTACCAGCTTTAGAAACACATTACCATCACAGCTGGACAGATGCTAGAAGAGTGGTTGTTATTGCCCCAAACAATGGGAAAATGAATTACTTCAATTAAAAGATGTAGATTAAACCTCTACCAAGGTAAATACCAAAAATACCTTTTCATTTTCGTATGCTGCTGTGGTTTTTATTTTATTTAATTTTCCAGCTCTCATCACGTAGCAGGGTGAGAAACAGATAACTAGGAAGAGAAATACATGGCCAACAATGAATGCTTACAGCAGGCTATGAGGGAATGGTCGTCCCCATTTCACTGCACCATTTGATCATAGGATAAATCAGGATGATGAACCCACTCATGTTCAAAGGAAGAGTCCAATTACATGTTTCAGTGGAGTCAGCCCAGAACACTTAGCTTTTTTCAAGATCAAGCACCAGCAGTCCAAGTAATTGTCTTCCCGTTGTTTTCTGTATGCACCGTTCACACTAATTTGATGTTCCTATTAAGCTACGATCTGCTCCAGCTCCTGGTTACTGCATCAAGATGCTGTTTCATGTCCTGCCCACTCCACACATCAGTCACACATCAAAGAGCCATCAGAAAGGGAGCAAAACACAAAATACCATCAATCAAAAGCCACCTGAAAATTAACTAACATGAAGCTCACTAATTAAAAACAAAAGCATAAATAATTTTCTCTCAGAAAGACCTTGTCTCAAAGCCATTACATTCAAATTACTCTTTACCCCAACAGCTTGTGATCAAAAGCAACACCAAGCATAATTAATTTTAGATCACATATTCTCTTCTCTACTTTCATTGACTGAAGTAATTTAAGGGATCTCTCTATTTGCACACTTTGTCTTTTTAGCCACACTCCTCACGTCTCAGAAATAATTACTTCATCTTAAAGAGATTATATATATATATAGGTATACACACACATATATATATGTATATATAGTGATGCCAGAGACACTCTAAGCAGCCTGCAGCCATACTATGACCAGCTGGTCTGATCTGCTCCTAACATCTGAGGAGGGTCACTCCCAACTCCTGTTTGGGAGAAAAATGACCATTGAGAAAACAGCCTCAGTGGGTCAACTGATGACACTTTCTCTCACAGCAAGTCCCCTGTCACTTGCCCTAGTGCAAGTGACAAATATTGCACTTTGAGCTGGAAGTGCTGTACAGTATTTTGGACTAGATGTAAAACACTGGACACTGATGACTCTTAAAAGATCCACAAGAACTCCATGTACAGGAGGAATTGTCTCCTCTATGCTCTGCCATATTCCTTTTTGGGAATTTTGCTAAAATCCTTTCCACAAGTTTTATTTGAAAAATAATTTCCGAAGGGACAAACCTCTGTAAAGAACCTATGAGCTACTTCAGCTGCCAAAATATAATAGTGCTTTCTAAGTTTTTCTTTAAAGTGCCAGGTTAGAAAGATTTTTTAGGTTGCAAAGTCAAGCACCCAGAAGCTTGTAAATGCCAGAGCTTATGTCATCTGAGCATCATATTCCAGCCCTGCTGCACTCAAGCATTTTGACAACCTTTAATGACACTGCCACCTGCTACTTTCTTCTACTGGACTCTTGCCTCAGTGTTTAAGTAGAGACCTGCTTGATATCCTTTTGTATATGCAGTGCACAGCCTCAAGATTTATTTATTCCACGCTACCAAAACTGTGCACAGAATGTAAAATGGTTAATTTTCTCCTAAGCATCTCTGACAGAGTCTCCCCATTGTATCCAAGTTTCTTGTGACCATGAAATTTACCCTCACTGTGCTCCTCTAAGGTGAAGTTGCACTATTATCTGTATTCTGCAGCTGGGCAAATGAGAGTCAGAAGGAAGGCAGGCACAAACTTTCCATTAATTTTAGTAATACAACCTGAGGCACACAGAAAGCCCATTTCTCAGTTTCCAGCCCTTCACTCTCTTTCAAAGTCTCCTTGTAATGGCCTCCCAGGAGCCCATCCTACTTCACAGTGGACATGCACGGAATGAGGAGCCCGTTGTTACTGACCATTTGTGAAAAGTTTGTTGTAAATCTGCATCATTCAGAAATTCCGTCAGGGAAACTGAGGGGAGAAGACAGTCCTCCAGAGCAGCATTCAGTTGCCTTAACTGTAATAATACCTTGCTTTCTCCACTGCAATCCCCCGCCTCATTTACTATAGACCTTCCAGCTTGGCAGCAAATGAGGCAGTGCCTAAACATACTTCAGAGCTTGCCCACCGGTATAATGAATAATCTGCATCAGCCCAGAACTCCAGATTCTGGAGAGAAACAGCCACAGACCCTTTCCCCCATGCCCCTAACCTCTCTCACTCACCTCTTACCTATCTGCACCCCATGTCCTCCTTTTCATTATTCCCATTCTGATTTCCCAGACATCTGTATGTCCCCTGTGCTCCTAATTACCAGCTCCCATCCCGTAACCCTGCTCCCCAACTTCCTGCACACACTCCCTTTTTGCTGATACTCCTTTGGCTCTTGCAACCTCTTTTCCCTGTTCCTCCATACACCTTTTCCTGACCCATCTCCATTTGACCACGACTGCCGCTTCCCTTTTCTCCTTGCTACTGGAGATCAGCTGGTGAGCAGTGCAGGCCCCCTTCCCTCAGCCCGGTGGGCAGGCCTGCAACCAGGATTAAGCACAGAGGGGCATAACTCCTCCATGAGCATGTGCAGACAGAAACTTTTGAAAGCAACACTCTTGAATCTGAGGTGTCTCCAAAGTGCATGGAGCAACCTCATCAGCAGGGCAAACGCAGGGGTACTTTTCTCAAGACAGCAAAAGGCATCTCCCTGGTATTATGGTGACACTTTATTAAATGTCAAGCCTCCAAAACTTAATTCCAATGAAGTTCATTCCACTACCAGCACCAAAACATCTCAGGAAACAACTGCTGGATTTATTTATTTTAAAGAAGGTAATTTAGAGCAGCACATTTCCCAGAAATCTTGTCTTTAGAAACAACTGACTTTTTTGTTAAAGTTTTAACTAAAAGAAAAAGAGAAAGAATCAGTCAAAGACTAATTCTTACCATGAAAAATTTCAGCCAAAACAATTAAAGTGTAGAGAAGCTATAAAGAAAACAATTCCTTATAGTAGGCAGTGACAGGTACATTTTACTCTGGCAGTGCTACTGACTTTGCTTGTAATTAATAAATCTACCAAACATAATTGTTCCAGCTAAGCAAACACTTCCAGTCACGCTGATGTAAACAAAATCATTCCTCTTATCAATTAGAAGTTAGTCCACATGTTGTCACCATCTCTCCACACTGCCTAAAGGTGTCTAAGCATCATTTTTCTCCCAGCTTTGCCAGCTCCAAATTTCAGGCCCTGCCATTCCAGTCTGTGGAAAACTGAACCTGAATTCACCATCCTTCACATTGCAAAGAGCATAAAAACAAGAACTGATCCAGAATCCCTCAGGGTAATGGGAGAAGACCAGGTGAGTGTCTCCTGGCAGTGCTACCCAGGTCACCCTTTCTTACTATGACAACTCCTTCTCCTGCCAGCAGTTTCCATTTTGCTGGAAAGTTTCCAGTTTGTAGCCACATGGCTATGCAGCCTCCTGTCCACACTGCATCCGCCCTGGAGCTGTACTCAGCAGGCACCTTGCAGCTGCCTTCCACACACATCCAAGACAGAAAGACAAACTGAAACTAGGACCACATGGTCACTGTTTCTAATTTTTCTATACTAAGTTTTAAAACCCGTTCATAGGGATCCAGATACAGTAGAACCAGAAATGTAAAGCAGAAGTGATGTACACAACTAGACATTACATACTTGGGGGGCAAAAACAACCCCCAAACACTAGAATTTTTCAAAGCCAGTAACACAGTTCAGACAGGTGCTTCCCGTCTAAACTTCAGTAGCGATTATGAATCTACTGCTGGTTTTGAAAATCTAAAGTGAAAGGACCAAAAAGCTGAGAATCACTTCTGAAATAGGCAAGAAGAATAAGAGATGCTCTTACACAAATCTGAACATGGCAAACAGGATTGCGGTGGTAGAAATCTCTTACACGGGGGAATTATCAGCAACAAAACCACTGTTTAGTCATCCTACACCGACAATGGTATCTCTGGTTCAAGTTTATATGAAAACTATTGCCTACATCTTTGAAAGTAAGCAGCAATTGTAGAAGTTTCTGCTTTGTCACATTGCATCAGAGCTACCTTAAGGGTGAGTGCTTCAGTCTTTCTCATAACCAGTTGCCATTCCTTAGCTGGAACTTCAGGCATCCAAAATAATGTATTTACTTTTGGAAACTTGGATCTAGGTTTAAGAGTGCAGGGTGCCACAGAGGAAAAAAACAAAGGCAAGAACATATAATAATGGAGAAAGAGGAAGAAACAGAAGGGAGGAGCAAAAGAGAAGAAGCAAAAGGACTTCTGTAATTTCAGCACGTCAGCACAATTCGTTAAGCTTAAAGGAGCCACTGGGAGTTGTCTGTGGTGATGGTGACAGTGCATCATCAAGCAGAGAAATGCAGAGGGCTCTTACTGCAGCATGTGTGTCTGGCTGGCGTCCTTTTGTTTGTCAGGTACCTCGTAGTGTGGGGAAATCTTGCCGAGGCCACTGTCACTCAGCATCCTCTTTCGAACCGCAGGGTTCCACCGATCTGATATTCTAGGGAGGGAAGAAGGAAGAGAAAGGCATTCACCCCTCAAAAAGTACCTCGTGTGCTCTACTTTGAAGCTGTCTTATGCTTACTGGTTCCCAGCATTTTTCAGCCCATAGCAAGTTAAAATAACTTAATTCACTATGAAGACGAGACTGTTCCTAAAGATGAATAGAAGCATTTCTGGTCTGCCCAGAGGATGAGAAGAAACAGAGACACTTCACCACCATTCTTAGGCACAAAGGGCTTCAGGGCCTTATACAGTGGTATCAGAGCCCTGACCATACAGAGAAGGGGTTTGTAACTTGATTGATACAGCTTTATGGTGGGGCAGATACAGTCGGGGGTGTGAGGAGGTTGAAAGGTGCCAAAGTCCATTAGCCCTGCTGTGTGCTCCAGGATGCCTAGCGGAGTAGACGTTATTCCACCGTCCTGTCATTACCATGGCTGCATCTGATCCTGTCCCCAGCTCCCCACCTAAGATCTGCTTTCCCACATCTCCCAATCCTTCAGAAAAGGGGACCAGAAAAGAGATGCCCAACTCTAATACAGCTGTTGAAAGCCAGATCCCAGCACCACTCACCCAGAGGCCTGCTCCACTACCAGATCAGGCATTCCTGGTGGCGTCCCCACCTGCTGTGACATTACCAGCTCTGGGTCCAGAATAAAAATCTCGTCCTGCGAAATTTCCGTCACAAAGTGCAAATGTTCCTGTTGGAGTGATACAAGGAACAAATAATGAACCTGCAGCATCACTGGTCTCTCAGAGCACCCAGCTGGCTCTAGGAAAGCTGGGTGCACATCAGGGTCTCTGAAGAGCATTCATGGGACTCTGTCTGTGTATTTAAGTGCACACACATACACACTAAAACCAATGCCACTGAAGTCACCTATAAATACTTCATCGAGTTCAAGCCAAACAAGATTCCCAATCAGCGAGCTTCACACTCACAGCAACACTTAAAAGGCTGCTACTCAGTGACTCTGTGTCATTCAGCTGAAAAGTGGAGGTCTACCCAAAAAGCCGAGGTTTGCATTTCAAAATGAGGATCAATACCTGCCCTCTGATGATGGCTGACAGAAATTTTCATTGTTTGAGGGTACTCTCCCAGACCTCCATTGCTTGTACATTCTGGTTTCACATCTCCGTTACCAAAGCTCTCCTTCTCAGTCCCTCTTTTTTGTTATTGACACTGAAGGCTCACTGTCCTTCAAAAAACACCAAGTATGAGTAGGCCTGTCTATGTAGGCAAATGAGCAGGAAACTTCCCACCGTTTGTGCGCTGGGACGATCACTCAGGGCAAAGGAGTAGGAGGGAAAGATTACCATTTGTACAGAATCAAGTAGTAAAGAAATGCAGAATAAGCCAAACAGAGTCACATTGCCCAGTTAAACCTGTAGCAGCATCTTCTTCACCCTTGCTTTCCAAATGTTAAAGTACAACTTCATCAAAGTATTTATATGGCTGTGTGCAAGGAAGTCCCATGGTGGCTACATGCAGACACTGAACCTGGGACCTCTGAACTAAAGCCACAGCTCCTTCTGCTTGAACTAAACCACCAGCTGTTTTTGCTAGGAAGCAGTCATATGTTCATGTGATTCAGAAACAGCTTACACAGTTCTCAGGGGGACCAGATACAAATGACCGCTGTGTGAAATCAACAGTTTGCACTTAATGCTGAGCCACTAATTGGCCTGTTCTGGCTACAAATCAGAAACACCAAAAGCTCTGTAAAATTTTCAAAGTGTCTTTTAGAAAATATATTCAGATTGTCAAATCTATACCACAGGTTTGAATCCAATGGAGCTACACACTGTGTTGGGGTTCCTGGGGAATATTTGATACAGCTCTGTTCATAATTCTCAACTTGTAACACCACCTTAATTTCCATAGCTATTCCATGTCACACACACAGGATCAAGACTTCTGGTGACTAAAAGCATCAGTGAAAAGATAAACTCAAATACTCTGGTGGCACACACATGCCCTTAGCAAGACTTGACAAGGATGACAAAAGTAGAAAATTCTGATCTGTACATCAGATTGGTAGTAAACAGAAAGGCAGATGGTCAGCAGATATATAAAACTTCAGTGAAACAACGTGAATTACATCAACTAAAAAATGGCCCAGAATTTTTTCTCTGCTTTTCATTGGATGTGAGTAGCATTTTAGTATACACAGGAGGAATGGCAGATAATTCATTTTAAGCTGCATTTGACATAGCTTTAAAAAAAAAAATCTGTAGAAATGGTAACTGAATAAAGATTTACCTGAGATCTGTCAATGCGGTAAAAACGATCAGCAGAAGTTGCTGCAAGACAGAGAAACAACAGAGCCGCAGTGAAGAAAACGGTCTGAGCAGAACTGCATGGACTGAGCTAACATCACTACCACGTAAGACCACCTCTGTGTCAGTGAAGTCACAGTGGTTTCACAAGAAAATAATCTGATTCATTCATTATGTCCATACTCCTATCCCATTAAATGGTGAATTTAAAGGTGAGGCTTAACAAAACACTATTCACTGATATTATTAACTTCAAATAAATATTAAAAAAACATATAAAATGGATTTCAGGCTTATAAGAAGAATTGATTACATCAAAATAGTGACAGAAAAAGTTTCATTGTTCCAATGAGAGTATAGCAAGCATATAATGAAATTGATGGGTCTAACAGGATTAATTCAAATTTTGAATCTAAAGAACAATAACATGCTTGGGAGCTCTTTGTAAATCAAATGCATGGCCACAGATATTCACCCTGAATTACCAATACGCTCAAGGAAAATTTATGCTACTCATGAAAAACACATGAAAATAGGGGAGATTCACTCAATAAAGCACCTAATATGAATCTTGTCACCCCCAAATAATTTATATTACTAAACCCAGAAGTATTTTATCACATGCAATGTGCTTCATCAGATACTATTTTTTTGTTTCTGCTTTGCATTTAGTTTGGCCAGTGAAATCAGATTCATTCATTCTGGAGTTTTGACACAAGAGCACAGTGATGTAGCATTGTAGGTTTTGGCACTGCAAGGGAATATCAAATCCCTGAAGACAAAAACTGAATGCATCTACCCACCCAGCTTTCTCCAAAAACCAAACAGATTCTCAAAAAGTTTTTTATCAATTTCTCTCAGGAGAGACAAGAAAGAGTGATTATAAATTGCCAAGGAGAAATTGTTTTTGTTTAGAATAAAAATTTCAGTCTCCCCATGCCGAAGCTTTTGCAAAAGCAGATGCCATCCATTTTAGCTGCTAATTCCAGTGCTCTGGAGCCTGATGTAAAGCCCAGATAAGCCGTCTGCATTGACAAAGACTGGGTCAAATACAAGCGCGGCTCTCCAGGGAGCTACATGAAGTGCAGTCTTACAGGGAAACGGAGGTACATTTCCGTCACCTAAACGCTATAGTACCTAAATGCTATAGTACTTAAAGAGAAACCAGAGTGAAGAACACAGCCTTACCAGCAGCAGCGCGTTGCCACAACCAGCTGTACTCTGAGTCCAGGCAATGCCATGCAGTAAGTGCTGCTCATCACATCAGAGACAGTAACAAACCAAACCTCTAACCACTCTTAGAAGAACATGTCTCCTTGGGGTGACAAAGCTACAGCAGACATTTTGATTGCTAGATGAAAGGCCTGTTTCGTTTTTCAGAGGGGAAAGGGGGGCACTCAGCTCCTTTTTTACCTGCTCAGCGTAACAAGAAGGAACCGTTACCCCTCCATAGTAATACTCTCAGATGCGCTATCCCTCACATGCACACCAGAAGCAAGCAGCATGCTAGGCACAAGAGACGGGAGATGCACTTACCATCTAGGAAGCACCATCTAGGAGAGAGCCTCTGAACAGAAAGTACTCTGGGGAAAGAGCTTTCCTGGTCCTGGATAGGGCAGGGAAATGACATAAAAAATAACACTTTTTTCTCTAAAAAGGACTATTTTCTAGTCTCTGCTTTTTTCATTTTGCTCTACTGACATTGCCCAATGTGCAAAACCTACATAACCCAAACCCACTGGATTTGCTTCTCACTAACATCAGGGTTTGACTGTAATACAGAAAAGAGTAAACTGATACGGTTAGCTTCAGCCACATCCTCAGCTATCACCTTCCCTTCAGTTCAGCAATACCAAAAAGCTTTGCATCAAAACCAGCTTTCTCAGCTGTCTACAGCCCCCTTTATTTGTGGGGACACAGGAACAGAGAGAGGTGAAAGAGGTCAAAGATACACATCAGTATGAAACAACAGCTATGAACTCTAACTACTATTTTTGTTTCTTGTGTGCCTGTCACCTTCCTTTACACTAGCTCAGCATTTTCACACTCTTTCCCTCCTCTACCGATCTGCCACTCAAAGCAATTGCCCACTTTGCCTGTCTCTGGTGTGTCCCAAGTGCACATCAGGGTAAAAAAAGCGTTATCCTCTGCACCCAGAATGCAGAGAGTGCAGACCTGGGGACCACTGCCAGCCAAGCAAACAGACATCCTACATCAAACATGTTCCCGTTCGAGCTAAAAAGCCCTGCTCCTTGAGAGCCAACCAACGTTATTTCAGGAACCAAACCAAATGACTGGGGAGGAATGAAGACCTTCTTCCTGACCTGTACTCACCAAGGAGCCAAACAGGTTGCTCCTTGCTTTTTCAGCTCTCATTGAGCTGGAGAGGCAAAAGGGATCTCAGAAAGCAGAGGGTGGTCATGGCTCTGCTCCATGCTGCCAGTGGATGGCCAGCCAACTTCCTAAAGCCACTGGGACACAACGTTTAAACACAAATAGATTTGCACAGCACAAAACACAACAGCATGGATCTCAGGCACACACCCCAAACTTGTATAGAGCCAGATTCTATCCTTGTTTACATCTTAAGCAGTAAAATCAGCACATCTGCAAATGATGTAAATTCAGGCACATACTAGCTCAAGATTAAACTTTACTCCTCCTTCAGACAACAGACTACAGAGTGGTATACCAAATCACAAGGCAAGAAAAGAAAAAGTAGAAGCAATGGGGAGGAAAGGTACCTTTGAGAAAAGTATTGCTCTGCACGGAAAGCACAGAATATGAGTAATGTATATATACATATATTCATAACATGGGCATAGATTGGTGAAAATAGACCAGGATACAATGATATCTCATTGGGACTTCTCAGAATATCACACAGGAGCCCAGCACCTTTCCTAACAGCAGGATGCAGGACAAACTATTTTCGTATTGGGAATTGTACAGCTGTATCAGGTCAGTAGTTGTTTGAAGGTCCAACACCAGAAAGTAAAGGCTGGCTGAAAGATCGAGTTCCGAAAAGAGATTTCAAACAATCACGGGTTTTCAGCCAGAAGAGACAACAGGGCTATGAACACTTAACCCCTAGCATAACACAGAAATCCACCACTCCAGCCTGAGCTACAGCAGACCTTTTAGAAAGGCACCCAGGCTAAGTGAGAGACTCCAAGTGACACAAACCCCAACATTCCCTCAGGCAGCTGGCACCATGTGAATAGTTTGAAGGAGTATAGGAAGCAGCTTCACTTTCCAAGAAGAGGAAAAGTGCAGAAACACCAACACGGAGTTAAAATGAAAGTTTACGGCGTATCAAATGTGTCCAACACATCTGGAACATTCACAGAGATTCTCAAAGGTTCGCAGTTTCCTATATATTTTCCTCTGCTTTTACTGCCTAGTCCTTATATCATTAAGAAAACCTAAAAGTAATAGTCATTTCTCAGCAATTTATCTTACTGTTTTGCAAATCTGACATATTTCTAAAATACTTCTTACCTAAGTAGCCACATGTCAGAAGAAATTAAGAAAAAAAATAAAGAATATATTGACAGAAAAATGGGAGTTTCATCAGTTCAATTTCCCAGGCTGCCCAGACATGTGTCAGTAAGACCACGGGGAAGAAGCAGTTTGCTTTCTTCAACCTGAGGAAAATCTCAAAGAATGCTGAAGTTGTCATTTCAGTCTGACTGGGCAAAACAATTTCCAGATTGATCACAGAGCAAATAACGCCCTCATAAGTTAAGAGGCAGATGTTGCACTCTTATTTATATAAAGGTATCTGACACTTTTTCAGCCACCTGAGAAAAAATGAGGTCACAATGATGTTGTACAGATACGCACAAGTTCTTAGCTTCCCCAGCCTCTCGGTCAGCAGGGTGCCTGCATGCATTATATGTTGTATTCAAGCAGCTCTGATGATGATTAACATTTTGCATTTTGATGGACACTCATTTCTCAGCCAGGTGAATGCATATCAGTGCCTGGCATGATGCTGATACAAATTGTTATCAATTTCATTTGGCATCTTGACAGCTTTTGCAAGATTCATCTTATTAGCTTCTGCCTCTGGGATTGACTGGAACCGTCTATTATTGCCTTTCTTTTCTGGTTATCCAGGCCAGAAAAACAAAGACATTCCAGACTCATCTGTTGTCTCCTCAGTGCCCTAGAGTTTGGCTATAGTCCTGGCAACAGATCTTGCCTGAAATGTTACTGCAGAAACTTACAGATTTTGCTTGACTAAAAAAAAAAAATATATATATACACATATATATCTTCTGATGCATGATACCTGCATCTATAGCCACCCTGATAAAACAGCCTCAATTCTTTCCCATATTTAGACTCAGGGATTTTATTTGATCCCATAAACCTTGCTTTCATATACAGGTTTTGTCTCCAACCTCTGTGCATTACAGGAGAGATGAAGGCGACAACAACATAACATTCCATAAAGTGAACTATTTCAGCACATGGGGACCAGATGACATATCTCAGTGGTTTAAGCATCAGATTTAAAATACACCTAGGTCTTTCTCTAATGTGGGCTTATGGAGTTGTGGGATGCTTAGGTTTGCCTGTATCGCATCTGAGGTGTATGTGGGAGAGTCAAGGGCTTTCTGAAATCCACTACGTTTGCTAATGTCTACGTATATACATGCACAAAGCTTTATGTATCTTAATATTTAGCCCACTATTTGCGGAAAGGTGAGGATTGGGATACAAAGGACAAAAGGAAGAAAACATCCAAAGACAATAGTGCATACTAAAAATGTAGATGATACAAAGAGGAGACATGAGTAAAAATTCACAGACCTAGCAGAGTACATAATGCTGGGAAAACGAAGACAGGGATAATGCTGATAAATGTAAATTCAAGTCACAAATTGCATATTGTGATAGGCTCTTTCCAAGACTTAATTATAGTTCAACTGCAGAACTAGCTTAGGAAGTCTCAGGCCCATAAGAATGATGTTTTATAAGCATTAAACTCATTAGAGAAACAAAACAGAATGAAAAACCACCCTAGCATCATTTTTCTCATTTGCACCTGGGCTTGCTGATGTTGTTTCTGCTGACTCCCCATGTTTTGAGCTGCAGAGGAATCACGCAAGAGAACTGCATCTATGAGACCTAAAAGTACCTGTAACACCTTATTAAGACGACAGTTCCATCAACTCAAGCACCTTATTCATGCCCTTTATCCCCTGCTTTTTCCCCTTTCTGTAATATGTAAAGGGATACCAACAAACATGGAACAAACCTCAAATTAACCTAACAAGACAGCTTGTAGAAATGACCCACTGAGAATAAACCAATATTTGAAGAATCCAGGATAAACAAGTACTGAAGACAAAACACAGAGGTGGGGGTGCATTCAAAATGTAGCATCATAAAAAACTGATAGCATGTTAGGGATTTCACACTGATGTGCACCAGAGGAGATGGCTAGGCAATTAATTTATATACTGCTATAACTGCAGAGGTTAGAGCCAAATATGGGGCTGATTTCTGACATTTCATACTCTCTTTTGGCACTCTCCATACACGCAGATTTAGCTCTTCATTTTACCTCAGGCAGTTTCCTATGCATGGAGCAGTCAGCAGTCACTTAGGTTAATTTATAATGAGTGGAGCAGAATAATACATGCTGTTTTATTAGCCAATTCACTAGACACTAACACGGCTCTAAAACTCAGTTCCAGGGCAATGACTGATACAAATGTCAAAAATATGAGGTTAAAATTGGACAGGGAAACGCAGAAACAAACCATGAACTGGTATGAAGAAGGTAACTCCAGGAAAACATGCCAAATTGCATTTTCTCATGGTGTCTTCCTGCATTCAACGCATTTACAGGCATTCTGGCCAAACTGGAATTCTGTGTCACCCAGGTGATCATGAAGCCCCAAGAAATTATCTGCAATTTCACCACAATGGGTTCCCGTCAGCTGGATCTCTGCATGTTTTCTCAGTGAACTCATTCCTGCTGATCCCAACAAGACTTGCATTGTTAAATCTAGGAAAAGGCTATCAACACCATGCAAACTTGTCTTGTGATCTTAAGCGCTGTGTCATCGGACCATGGTTTGTGTCAAATCTCTGCACTAATGTCAGATCAGCTCAGGAGTCAGTAGAGTTAGTCTACTCCCAATTTAAGCACTGTGCTTATTTTAGTGGGAGAAATATGCATTCTTGAACAATACTTCCAAATGTAAAGCCAAGTTCTGTAATGCATAAATTGTACAATAAAGTTGTAAAATGCACGAAAGAGACCAATTTTAAAAACTAGCCACCTAAAACTAGAACCTGATTGTCACGTGCAAAAGACACATTTGTGCCCAGGATGGATTAAAAAACTACTCTGGAGATTATGTTAAACTAGAGGTAGATGACTGTGGTGACACCTTTTTTCTCAGTGACAGACTTTAGTACTACAGCTATGCAATATAACATGTTATTGTTCAGTTTCTCAGACAGAGAAACAATTTTACTTTTGTCATTTGTCCTACAGGACACATTCTCTCATTCACTTCAATATGCAAGGCACTGCTATTGCAACACCACTCGCATCATCATGCTGTGCTAATTTTAAAGATGATTCCATAAGGTTTGCAAGGAAAAGGACTGTCCAAGGGAAAGCAGAATGAACCTCCAACATTTGAGGGTAAATGATAATCAGAAATTCATCTAACATACGAGTGTCTAACAAAAAGAAAACCTGGGTTCAAATGCAAAGAGTGCAGTCCACATTATTAAGCCTCTTTTTGTTCTGATACTAAAAGGAAAGCTTATCTTACCTGGTAATGAACTCTCTGTGTAGTAGAAGTTACCGACTGTAGATCCTAGTAAGAGGATGAAAGACATGCCGATGATGAAAAAAATTAAAGCAACAAGAGCTGTTTGCAGTTCTACTATCTGAAGTAGTTGGGCAAACACAAATAACTTTGGAAGTATTTCTCACTGGTTTTAAGTATATTAAATAAACACCACAGAATAGTCATGGAAAGCTCAGTTTAAATTTGCATGCATTTGGTGAAAAAAATGGTTTTTAAAAATAGAGAGATTATGTTAATGGATCTTCACCATATCACAGACCTATTTGTTCCATGAAAACTATCTAAATTTAGAACATCAGCAATAAAATGAAAGAAAAGATACAAAAATCCAGAAATCTTTTTTGCAAATATTTCTGAGTAATTAATGCACTGGCATTAAAACCACTGGCAGCTCTCCCTATTCTAAGACAACCTAATGTCAGGGAGGTCATATCAGAATGACCCTAGTATTTAGCAGGGTTCAGGAATCAAATTTATTTTAACAGAGATTTTGTCAAATAGTTTTAGCTCATGACATAGCCTACCAAAAAGCCTGGCCTACAGGCCACAGCTCCCCAGTTGGCATGCAAATTGGCAGAGTGCAGAAAGCCTTGGCACCTCCATTCCCAGCAAATGGGTCTGAGCCAAATCACGCAAAAATAAGTAGTACAAACCCTGCAAAAGGTTGGAGAAACACAGATCCTCCACAACCGCTATGGGTAATTCAACCAGAACATCTAGCTGTGCTTCCTCCAGGGCTGTACAACTACTCTCCACCCAATACTGGCCATATTAAGTTGCCTGAGCTCAGTCTGAGATCACATTAGTAACCTGCTGAGAACATCATCCCTATTATTTCAATGTAATTTTCCATCACCGGATACCTCAAATATGCATCACCTTACAATATGGTTTTATGTCTGTAAATAATAGCCACACCTCAGGTCTGAATGTTCAGAAATGCATTTGATGAAGGGAATCCTGGCTGAAATGGAAAAAAGTGAAAGCCTGTAGTCAGATACTAAGTCCCATATTCAGGCTGCAAGTGCAGAGTTTCAAAACCGCAGGGAAGCCAGTGGCTCCCAAAGAGTTCAGTGGGAGGGATGAGGTTCATAGCTCCTATGAAGATTGGACCACCTATTTAGAAACCTACCTAATGTCCTCACGCTTGCACATGTTGTTGAAAGATAACAGTTAAAGATTAAAAACAGTCAGAGACAGTATATTAATGAAAATCCATTTGTTTTATCACTAAATGCATACACACTTAAAATTATTCAGGTAATGGGGCATTTGGAGTCTCCATTTCCCAGACTGTATGGTAGAATGAACTCTCATGAGGCAAGGTGTTCAAGACAATAAGAGCAACATCATTATTAGCTGCATAAGCATATATTTCTGTGTATTTGGAAATATCTAGTTGATATTTGTAGTGTTTATTGGTGTCTCAGATTACTCCATGACAGTATTAGAGAATGACATTTGCATAATTAGACCCACTCGAATACCACGATGTTTATCCTTACATAACACACTTTCTAATCAATAATTTGTGTAATTTCAGCAATGCATGTGGAGAGTCCTGGTATTTCATTCCAATTCAAGGAGAAGTAAACACACCCATCCACATCAATTCTGTTATCATTTTAAAGGAGTCAGTATGACTTTTCATTTCCTGTTTAGAAAATATTTTTCAGTGCTAGTCTTGCTTTTATTATCATATCATAACTCTAAAGTTTTGTTTTCAGTGGTAGGCAAACCGCAGTACTCTTAATATATGGTTGTTGCAACTATTAGACCTCTGAACTCAGAACTGAAAGAAGCATAACATAGATTAACATTTGACACCTGAATTCACAAAAACCTCACCTCTTGTAGACGGTCAATGTACATACGACAAGTCTCCAAGTCACAATCTCCTCGTACCACTATAATTCCTAGGGGAATGGCTGGAAAATCAAAAACAAAGAACAACCTCTTTAACTGAAGTCTCTCGAACTTTAAAAGATTTGCAATATGCTGCTAATGGCTGGAAAAAACAAAGAACAACCTCTTTAACTGAAGTCTCTCGAACTTTAAAAGATTTGCAATATGATATGCTTAATGTCCTCACAAAAGCTTTCTGCTATCTAAATCTTAACAGTCATTTAAAAGCAGGAACATATTATTCATCAGTAGTTTCACTCATTTATAATTATCAAAGATTCTGGTTTTCAACTGTCTTTCATACCAAAGAAGCTGAAACAGATTCAGTTAAATTGTGTACTTCATCGTCTGACGTCAACATCATTTATTAACCGCAAAGAAAGGAACATACCCCAGAACAAGAGTTTAGGGAGGTGCTCTTATACACTGAAATAAGACAGTGATATTTCATTTTCAGAACACTTAAAAGTCTACAAAAATTATTTAAAGTAATGAAAGTCACAGCCTGAAGTCACAGCCTGATTTCAGAGAAAACTGTCCAGCACCATGTTATTTTGATGTAAGGCTGCTTTCAAATCTAAACAGACATTATTCCATCTACATACAAAATTGACACAACTTCTCCATATTTTCTCAGGGAAAAAAAAAGAGAACTTGTAAAAATACTGCAAATAATTCCCCTCAGCTGAGAGCAGCATTTTTAATAACAGGGGATTTAGGTTTCCCCAACCATTCTGTTCTTGCAAACCCAAAACAAACCCACAAAAAGAACAAAAGAGAAAAAAGTATACGTGAGTCCACAAGGAAGGTACCAAGAGAGCTACCTACTAAGATCTCAATAAATAAAAAGGAAATAAGTGAAAACTCGAGTCCCTGATTTTCTAAAACTGAATTACTGAATGAAGTTCTTTTTTCTCCCTGGAGGGTCTTTAATCAAACAATGGCTCCAAAAAGTAGGGGAGCAGCAGGAAAGAGATTTATATCCTCATATGAAGTATCCCAGAAGGAGAGCAGAGTATCAACTCATAAATAATTTTGGTAACTGGATAACAAGAAGTAACATAAAGTCACTGACAGTTCTGAGATAAACAGAAAAAACAACTGTGCTGCAGCCCCTCCTGCCATTCAAAAGAAGTTGATTAAGAGGGAGAGATATTTTTCTACTGAGAAGTTTTTCATTCTGGTAAGAGAATAAGACAGTCCTAAAAGACAATGGGGAACGTGGCTTATATTTTTGTGGCCCACTGAGGCTAGAAGCACAAAGAGAAGCTCAGTGGTCTCGGGGAGAAGAGTAGGGGAGCACCTATGGCAGCCAAGGTCATTATGGGCCTCAGAGGCCAGTGCAGGGCTCTGGGGACACATCAACATTGCTGCCAGCATTGTATTTGGAAAGCAATTTGAACAGCAGAAGAGCTACGAACCCGGGAAAACTGGAAGCAGGGGGGAAAAAAAGCCGGAGAGAGAAACAAGAAATTAAAGAAGGGATAGGCAGGAAGACCAGGGAAGAAGGGAAGAGCCCGCACTTCTGAAGCAATGCTGATATCCAATAGTGATGCCAATCTTCCTGCTCATTTTCAGAAAGGCCAGAAGGGAACAGTGCTCATTGCAACCTCTCAGAGTTTTTCATTACAGAACAGAGACTGAGAGACAAGCAAGTGGAATGAGGGTCAATCGCAAGGTTTGCTTTACACGCTTCGATGCTCTGGGTTACAGACTGATTCTCTTTGCTTAGTGTTTATTATTGCTTAACCTGTGCTGACAGGAGAACCTTAAGCTCTTAGAGTACTTAATGGCTATTTAGTTTCAATTCAGCAGATCCCTCTGCAGACCTTGTTGAAAGAAGCATTTGTTAAATTCATTTATAGCACTAAAAAGTGAATTGCAGCAGACACGACTGCACCTCCAACAGCTACAGAGTACTAGGGAGCTACACCACTGGCTCATAAACTGTCACCTGTGATTTTGTCTCTTTTCTATTTAATTCCTTCCTTCATGGAGGAGTATATGCACTTAATGGGGACCAGAGTTTTGACCTGCTGAAACAATGCAGCTAACGCAGAACTGAAATCCATAATGATCACCATCCCTGACAGCCCAAAGGAGAAGGACCTTACGAACATTTGGAATTCTAAAGAAATCCACCAAAATGTCTGAAAAGAAAATACTAATATGCAATAGATAGTTTAGCAGTGACATTTATGTGCCTCATCTACACAAGTGAAGAAGAAAGTCATGATTCACAGGTTTAATTAAATTGTGTCCCATCTATTCTTGGTGGTCATAGAATGATTCTGGAATTCTGGGCTGGGTGACTTTGTTCTTAAAAAGAGATGTGTGACTTTTGCTGCCTAGAAATCCAGAATTAGCAGGACCTATGGCTTTATGGGTTAATGGCTAGCTAAGGGATAAGGTGCATGAGGTGGGTCTCAGATGGTTCCATTCCATATAGTTCATGCTCATTTGAAAAACCTTTTAAGTCATTACTGGGTAACACTACAGTATATGCTAAAATATTGCTTGCCAAAGGTTTTTTTGTTTGGGGTTTTTTTTGTTTGGTTTTTTGCAAGACCCATTTGGCTTTCAGCAAGGAAAATATTCCCAGTCCTCATTTTTATCATAAACCACAGTAAGTACGCACAATGCACCATGCAGCCAAGATTTTCAAAGTGCTTCACAATGGCTGCTGTTTGAAAACAAAAGCAAATCCTTAATGATTGAAATGATGGGATTGTTGCTCATTCTAAATATAGGGCAATGCTGTGCAACAGGGGCAAAATGAGGTAAGTTATGATATATCAGTTAAAGGCGTAAAGTTAACATGCATGGCATTCAATGTCATTGTGGACACTGCCATTCAGGAATAAATGAACTTCTACCTTTTCTGAATAGCGCTGTGTGGATGAGGATGTGGACAGTACAGGACAGTGCTGTAGGACACAGTGATTACTAGATATCCTCCCATCTCTCACCTGGCATAAAGTCTTACATTAAGAGCACAGGCACTGCAGAGCAACTTTCCCGTACCCCCATACACTGTCCATTCCTGTGAATACATGGATATATCCAGACATGGGAATATGCCAAAAATAAGGGATAGTCTCAGATCATGAGCCAAGCCACAGCTTTCAAGTGCCAGATATTTTTCTCCCGAGGCGCCTGCTCTTCTGGCCCCTTGCATCCAGCTCCCAGTTTCTTTGTTCTTCCTGAATGGTGGAAAGGACTTTGTCCAGGGAGCTGTGCATAGAGACTCTAACACTGCAGTGACGAGCAGCAGTGCAAGAACCCCAGGAGATGAGGCAGGCAGACAGTTGCTTCATATTCTGAACCAGTACTGTGGAAAGCTTTTTGTTCCCAGCTACACTAACCAAAATCGAGTATCAGCAGGAAGAGGGTGAGGTAGGTGCAGCAGTATGGCTAGCATTGTGCTCTAATTGACTGCAAGATTAGTAGTGATTTCCTAAGTCCTCATGAAATTAGCTATGGAATTTATAAACAAAGAAGAAATCTTCCACCTATTAACTGCCCATTATGCTGAATACCTAAAGCTAGTGAACTCTTTAGCAGTACTGAGAACAGAAATGGAAGAAGCCTGAATATACTGCTTATGACACCATGAAGAAAAAATAAAACTCAATTAACTTCCCCATTTATTGTTATGAAAGGATTCAATTTGTGATCTAAACACCATGATTAACCCACTCAAATCCCAAACAAAACAGCCTCAAGACAAATCATTAAGGTAGATGTGAATGCCAGGAAAACACATTCTGAGTCTGACACACCTCAGGGGACTGGAGAGATTAAACATTTACAACCCAATGTCTAATGTAGCAAATAAAGGATCCTCACTACTGAAGATGTTATAAGAATGTCATTTTCCTGAGGGGTTTCCACTGATATTAGAAATGTGAAGGACCAAGTAAATTCTTGGGAGAGAATTCTAAAATATTCAGGCATTTTACATTAAGAGCTTTGGCTTTCCCAGTATGGTTTTAATACAACTGAGTTTGTACAAAAGGATTTTCTTACCACACAAATCTAAGCCATGTGTCTCTTCAGATCTCTTTTATTATACTGACAAAAACTAAGCCTCCTTAGGTTCATTGGTTGCTAGTTTTCTTGGCAGTAGTGGTCCAATTTTAGTGTCTTCACATGTCAGGAGGTAAAACACAATGGAAGTTATCAGACTAAACCAGACCACATTTGAGAAGGCGGTCATCCCCTGCAGGCTCTCAGTGACTTCTCCAATACCCTGCCATGAAAAGGAAGAAGCTGCCCAAGTCAAATGAAGAGAGAACTTGTCCCAAACACCACACAAAAGGAAACAACTTATAGAAAGAAAACTATGAAGAGCTGGGAATCAAAACTGACAGGGAATGGATACCAGGACTAAGAGATGAAAGAAGAGGTCTGCCTGAACAATGAGTAAGGGTTTAGGATTAAGAAAAGGAACAGGAACCTGAGCTGTGAGATCTGCAGAAACAGACTAAGACAGGCAGGAAGGATGTGTGTGGGATGGGATAGCCAAAGAGGACAAACAGGACTGAAAAGGTAAGAGGAAATCAAATCAGAAAAGCAATAGGAAAGGAAACATTAGAAGTAGAATATGCACAGAAAAATCTCACAGAAAAGTCTATACCAGAAAGACAAACTATAGCATGATTTCCTGGAAAGTCTGAAATGGAACTTAATATTCTTGTGTCTCCCCACTCCTCTAGGGTAAATATATATTTACATCTATTTGGAATACTGCCCATCTCTTCTAGTTTAAAGGAGATGGCAAACTTACAGGTGACAGTTTCCCCACTAGCTCAAAAGGCAGAGGACTGTTGAATGTAAATATGCCCCATGTGGAGTCAAGAGAAGGTAGATTTAGGTTAGATATAAGAAAGAAATTCTTCACAATGAGGGTGGTGAGGCACTGGAACAGGTTGCTCAGAGAAGTTGTGGCTGCCCCATCGCTGCAAGTGTTCAAGGTCAGGGGCTTTGAGCAACCTGATCTAGTGGAAGATGTCCCTGCCCA